GCTGCTACAGACACAGGACAGCTGTGTCTTCACTACATGACACCCCCCTCCTCCCCCAAACCTGGTAGGCAGCCGCGGCGGGGTCCCCCAGGATCTTGTTGAAGAGGCAGAAGACGGAGAGCTGGAAGAGCAGGGCCTCCATCTTGAGGTCGACGGCCACGCGGTGCAGCATGCGCACGACGCAGTGGTTGGTGTGGGGGCTGTTCCGAGCGTAGCTCCGCAACAGCAGCAGGTAGGGCTGGAGGACGCTGGGGCTGGCGAACCTGAGGGGAAGACGGCAGTCAGGGCTGGGGCTCGCGACCCCCCTGAATTTCAAACCCACCGAAAAGCACTGTCGGGCGACCCCCCCAGATCGCGAGAAAGGTTACAGTCCAGAGGCGTCCAGTCCTGTTTGGAAAACCGCCGTGCTGTTCGCAGAAATGTCCTCTTGTACAGCGCTTTGCCCCTTTTCAGGTTCCACCAGATTCAACACAAGACAGCTTGCACCACCAGAGCTCATCTGTATGGGCAGATGTACAGCTGCACACTTGAATTTTGAGCCACCTTCACTTAGGTGTGTATCATTTAAGAAATCATCAAGCTGAAGTGTCCGAAGTTGCCTTGATGTTGTTTTCCCAGTTCTATGCAGGCCTAACCCCAACCCTGAGGCACGTACAGTATACACACACAGATGGACAAAACAGTAATATAATTAGGCTGACTTCTAACTGGAAAAGAGCGGTGCAGGAAAAGAAAAAGAGAAATGCACATAGAATCCAGAAGACAATCAAGGAGAAAAGCGCAGTCTGAGGTGTTTTAAATCTGATGTACTGGCTCACAGAGCCACCTGGGGCCCCTGCGCCATCGCCGTCTGCAGTTTCCTAATCGGCACTGAACTCAAGAGCATCGCACTGCACACAGCTCATGGCTTCATTCCTCTTCACTGGCACCGAATCGAGGGAGGACAAGCTTCAGTGAGGCCTACATTGCATCATCACTAAGAATCACAGAATTCAGGGCGAGGTCTGGCCCCCTCCTGGAGTGCAGGAAGCGCTGGCTCCGATCTAGACTTGTGCCGGGGGCACTCCTTGGGCCTGGAGTCCTCAAGGGTCTCCTCCTGCCATCTGTCTCTCCGATGCCTCATTGGAAGAGGGCTAAATCGGTTCTCCCTACAGCGATCTAACCCCTGACTTGCATCCGCGCCCTTCACCAGCTCGGTGTGTCACCTGACACCGGAGAGGGATCGAGGACAAAAGTACAGACACAGTCATTCTGATTCTACGGCAGCGGCCCACCAACAGGCACAGGAACGTCACGTTTTCATTCACAGCAACTCACTAACGCCTCCGGCAACAATCACGGGGAGGAGAGGCTCGATCAATCAACAACACAGGCCGTGCTGACGGGATGGAGGCTTTAAATTCCGTCCCGGCCTCGCAGCTCCTCCCTCACCCCCGTGCTCCAGGCTCACCTCTTGAGAAAGTCTAGGAAGTTGAACTCCGTCTCTGAAACGCGCACGGACTCCAGCTCCTCCTCTTCCTCGCCCTCTCCGCCCCCTTCCTCTTCCTCCTCCTCCTCGGCAGGCTCAGCAGGGGCCGGTCCTGTTGGGCACAAGGCAGAGGGTCAAGTCGCTGAGCTCCGCACGGAGGCGCGCGGGGCTGCTGGCTGAAGATTTCCCATGAACACCTGGCTCCACTCCCCCGAGAGAGACGCCCTGTCGCCTCCTAATCAACCTGGGTAATTAAACTCATGAGGTCATTCATGTGACCATTCCAATCCTGTTCTGGTCCTTAAAGAAGTCCTACATTTTCAGTGGCTACTAAGCCTTTACTTTGACTGTGGACTTAGAGGTAAAGACGTTCCTCCTCCAAGGACACAGCATGGTGACTGGGGACACTGTTCTGTAAGAGGCGTCAGCCTACGGATGAGACATTATACAGAGGTCCTGGCTATTTGGTCCTTACAGATGCCAGGGGGGTTGACCCTGGTGTTCTGCTTCAATTCCACTCAGGGCTTGTACAGCCTGGACTCCGTACAGTGCACCTCTGGAGACCGATGATGTACCCGTGGACGACACTTACTAGGTAGACTGGCAAACAGAATCTTATTCAGCAGCTGAAGCTCTTCCTCTGGTTCCACGTCAGTTGATCCAAACACTGCCCCCTCCGGCCACACCTCCCTGTTAAAGACCACGAGAGAGAGCAATGGCAGACAGGCCAGGCCAGAGAGGACAGAGGGGCAGACAGGACAGGCCAGAGAGGAGGGAGAGAGGACAGAGGGGCAGACAGGACAGGACAGGGAGGAGGGAGAGAGAGGACAGAGGGGCAGACAGGACAGGACAGGACAGGACAGGCCAGAGAGGAGGGAGAGAGGACACAGGGGCAGACAGGACAGGCCAGAGAGGAGGGAGAGAGGACAGAGGGGCAGACAGGACAGGCCAGAGAGGAGGGAGAGAGGACAGAGGGGCAGACAGGACAGG